GCTTTCTGGCCATTGGCTGCCAGCGCGTGGACATGTATTGTGCATCAATTTTTCGTGTGTTGAGAAATATATTTTTTTATATTTTTAATATTTGTTTTTTTATATTTTTTATGAGAAGAGTCATTTGTTTTTTAGCAGGTTGGCAAGCATCCCATAAAAATAGAGGTTGGCAGTTAGAAAAGAGAAAGAAAGAGAGAGAATGAGTTGTTGTGAGTAGGGATGGGTTCAAAAAAACCGAAAACCGAAAAAAAACCGAAAACGAAACCGAACCGAAAACCGAAAAAACCGAACTGAACGAAAAAACCAAATCGAATTGAAAAAACCGAACCGAACCGAATTCTTTTGGTTCGGTTCGGTTTTAGTGATCTAGAAACCGAACCAAACCGAACCGAACCGAATTAATTAAATTAATTTTTTTTATTTAATTATTTGTTTTGGGTATTATTTTCTAAACCCAATTTGTAAGTTAAAATGTGCTAACCCAATGTGTTGCCAAACTTTAAGCTCAAAATATTAAAAAAATGCCTATAAAAACTCTAAACCCTAACCTATTATTTCTCCCCCATATAAGGTTCCGGAACCAAACCTCTTCTCTCGAAGTACCTACATCCATCTCCATAACACTGTCTACTTCTGCGCCAGCTTTTTTTTCCAAATCTACTCTCATATACATGTAACATAATCCATAAACATTTATTTCGGGTAGATTACTTGGGTAATTTGTGATGGAAAAGAATCCAACACACACTAAATAAATCCATCCACGCATTACCTTTACTAATCAAGTTGTCAACATGCAGTTACAAGCAAACAACACTGATCTTTGAACAACATCATACAATTTAACTTTTCTAAGTCATTTGTACGGTTTTTGTGTGATTTTTGTGTTGTGAGGTTGTTAGTTTGGACTTTGAAAGACTTGATTGATGATTTTAGTTCAACTTTAAATGTTTATTTTCATTGTCTTTGATTCTAGTTAGAATGTTTATGTTATGATTGTGTTGGATATGTTAAAATTTAAAATTTTCAATGTTCTTCATTTTTTGAAAAAAAATAAAAACAAAAAACCGAAACCGAACCGAAACGGAAAAAACCGAACCGAAAAAAAATTGAACCGAACCGAACCGAACCAAAATTTCGGTTTGGTTTCGATTTTGGCAAAAAACCGAACCGATTTAAATCGAACCCACCCCTAGTTGTGAGTGTATTGATAAAGTGACATAACTGAGGTTCAAGAAAAAAAGAAAGTAAAAACTTGTTTGTATAAAATTACTTTAATGTTCATGTTGTTTAAAAATAGAGAAAATAATATTTAATAAACAACTGATTGACTCATATTATTGTTAATTTATTATGAGATAATAATTATTAAAAAAATATGGTACAAAAAAATTAATTATTAAAAAACATTAAAAAGACAAAAATACCCCTATTACATACATTTGATGCATTATTTTGAGTTGCTTTTGAAATGTTTTTGTTTAAGGAGTATTTTTGTTTAATTATTTTTCTGTCAAACTTGTGAGATCAAAAAAATACTATTCATTGGCCCTTGGGTTATATATAAAAAACATTAAAGATTCTACTTATTTTTGTTATTTTTGGTTCAGCTCGCGCCTCTGAGCCGCGCCCTGAGCCACACCTGCCTGACGTCAGCTCTGCCGACAGCCCCTGAGAAAATTTTCCAGATTCTCGATACTCCACGTCATATATGTACCAGCTAATAAAAATAAAACTCGTGGCTACAATTATTCAATGCAATAATTCCATGTTGTAATAATTCAGTGGACCAGGTACTCAAGCATGTGGGGCCGATGAAGCATGTGAGTTCACATAGTAGGCTAAGACTCGCCCACAGTTATTCAATTCAATATTTCCATGTTGTAAACAACCTTCAAGACTCGGGGGCCATACACCGCGCCTTCAGTCTTCTTGTTGGTTTTTCTCAACTGAGATTATTCAGTCTTCTTTGAGTTCAACAGTTTGTTAGGAAATATGGCAGAACTTGTTACTTTTGCTGCCGAGGGAATACTGACTAGGGTGGCTTCACTAGCCAAGCAAGAATTCAGTCTCCTCTGGGCATTCAAAGGAGAAGTAGCAGAGCTGAAGCGATCATTGTCCCAGATTCAAGCTATGCTGCAAGATGCGGCCCAACATTCGCAGAAACGGGGCAAATCGGTGCAAATGTGGGTGAAGGATCTTGAAGATGTAGCTCAAGATGCTGATGAAGTGCTGGAGGAATACAGATACGAAGTTCTTCGGCGTCAGGTGGAACTTGGAAACCGAATGGAGAAAAAGGTGCTCAACTTCTTTTCACACCACAATCCCATTGCGTTTCGACACAATATGGGACGCAAAATCAAGAAAATCAATGCATCTTTGGCGAATCTGAGGAAGGAGGCAACTGGTTTGGGGCTAGTTGACACGAAAACAGTGGATGCAACGTCTCATGATGGTATAAGAGTACCTGACAACAGGGTAACCGACTCTGTCTTTCATCGAGATGAGAAGTACATTGTTGGAAGGGAGGAGGCTGTGTCGGAGATAGCTACAACCCTGATAAATTCCCGCAACAATAAGGAGAATTCTATTTCGGTTATGGCGATTTTGGGAATGGGAGGCCTGGGCAAGACAACTTTGGCTAAATCAGTTTATCATCATCCCGAGATAGGACGGTTCGATACAAAAATATGGATATGTATATCTACTCCTTTCAATGTCACGGAGATTTTAAGCGGGATCTTAGAAAAGATAAAACCGGAAAAGGCTGGGATTAAAGGTATCATATGTGAAAATCTCCAAGAAGATTTGAAAGGAAAGCGATATCTTCTCGTTCTCGACGATGTCTGGAATGAGGATTCTCATAAATGGAATGATTTGATGAGTTGTGGAAACACTTTCCAGGCGTGATTTGGAAAAATTATCGGACGACGAATGTTGGCGCATATTAAAGGATAGGGCATTTCGGAATGGGAGTGCTTCCGTGACCGAAGATCAAGAGCGAATGGGAAGGGAAATCGCCAAAAAATGTGCAGGTGTACCATTGGTGGCAAAGGTATTTATGTTTATTCGTTTTTTGAAGTTGTTGCATGTTTTCTATTCTTATTCTTATTTGTTCATAAAATGAATGAAGTGAAAGCATAATATATATGAGCACTATCGAAACCAATAAAATCAACCATGCTACACTAGTAAAAAAATCTAGTCAGGAATAAACCCTAATTGATACCAGTTCGTACCTACAGAATTGAGTTCCAACTTTGGTCTTCTCTTCTCTGAGATCCTTACGATTTTGTTCTTAATAGGACGAACATATGAATAAACCTTTGTTTTTTTTTTTGGGCATTTTACTCCATGTCCAAAAAATTCAGCTGGTTTCAGATTAAGTCCATTTTCATTTTTTTTTATTATGCCCGTTTTGTTTCTTAGAGTAAAAAAATAAAAATATATTTAAATTCCTTAAATTTGAAGTTTCGAATGCCTTAATCCACCCACTTTCAAATAAAAAAAACATTAACTCATATGATAACAAATATGATAAGTGTATGAAGATGAAAAAATAACTCTGAAAGAGATTAGTGAAGGAGGAGGTAAATAAAAAGATGGAATAGAGGAAGAAGAAGATGATGCAAAATAGGCTAGTAGTACGGAATTTATTTGGGATGATGCAAAATAGACTAGGATCTGTGTGCTCTTGTTCTTGGTTGTTATGAGACCCCATTTGGGATTCAAATTCGGGGTATGGAGGATCTGGATGGTCGAAGAATACGAATTTGAAAAAAAACTCATGAGGAAAAATTGAGAAGGCAGAGGGATAGGGAATTACCAGAACATTGGGGAGGATAGAGGTTGGAGTAGAGTGAGAAAATATAATAGATTTTATAAAAATTGACATTTATGAAACTAGGAGGCAAATATTACTTATATATCAGAAATTCCCTATCAAGTTACCGTTTCTTTTTTTTTTTTTACCCGAGAAGACGGGCCAAAGACGTGGTTGTATGGGCCGTAACCTCTTCTCCTATACATATATCCCAAACATAGCTTCGTATCCTAAACCTCATTTGATGATATTTCTATTTATTTTATCAGAATATGCTTAAAATACTTATTGCATATCGTTAATTTTTACCCCATGAATTCTCAATTGATAGACATTCAAACTCGTGTTCCAATAGGTGTTGGGAAATATGATGTGTCGTAAACTGAGTGATGGATGGCAGTCAATTCAAGACAGTGCAATATGGGATTTGCCAGAAGGAGAAGAAAGAATATTTTTAGTTTTGAAGTTGAGTTTTGATGAATTGAGATCACCATCTTTGAAACAATGTTTTGCATATTGTTCAATGTTCGTCCAAGATGATATTATTTATAAGGAGGAATTAATCCAACTTTGGATGGCTCAAGGATTGCTCCAACCTTCTCACAACGAAAGTATGGAGGATGTAGGGAATGAAAATTTTAATATTCTACTGGAGAACTCCTTTTTTCAAGATGTTGAAATGAAGGGAAATACTGTTTACTATTGCAAGATGCACGATCTTATGCACAATCTTGCAGAACATGTGTCAAAATCACAGAGCAAGAACTTCCCTGAGATTCGACAGGAGGCAAAGCTCTCTACATCGGCACTGCATGTAATTCCAAACGGAGGTTTGAATGGTGAAATTCTCGGTGACATCTTATCAACATTTGAAGGTTTGCGCGTCTTAAAATTACGCGGTGCTGAAATTAGTGAGTTGTCAATTTCAATTGGTAAGTTGAAATACTTGAGGTATCTTGATGTTTCCTACACAAGGATCACAAAGCTCCCCAAATCTATCGGCTAGCTTTATAATCTACAGACGTTGAAGATCAAGCCTTACATACCGAGTATATTACGAGTCCCACTTAAAAGTTTTCCAAGCGAAGTGCAAAATTTAATCAACTTGAGACATTTTGAGTTCGGTCGTGAATGTGAGGGATATCCAATTGGGATTGGACGTTTGACTAATCTCCAATCTTTATCTTATTTCGAGGTGGGTAAGGAGAGAGGTCGTGGAATAGAGGAGTTGGCTGGCTTAAAGCAATTGAAAGGCCGATTATCCATATTTAATCTAGGGCTTGTGAGAGATGGAGAGGAAGCAAAGAAAGCAAAACTAGCAGAGAAGACAAATCTGCGTGAATTAGTCTTTGCATGGGGATATGAGCAAAGGTCAAGAATTAATGATGAGGATGTACTAGAAGGCCTTCGACCAGCACACCCTAAACTGGAATCGCTAGAGATTCAATGCTTTATGGGTAAGAAATTTGCATCCTGGATGATGGGGAGTCTCATTCCTTCATTAAAAAGATTACATATCGATTCACCTAAGAATCTAATTGAATGGGTGGAAGCAGCAGAAAACATTGTGCTCTTTCCATGCCTCGAGGAGCTGTCTCTGACCAACTGCGATCAATTGAGAAGTGCTCCCAGTCATTTTCCATCTCTGAAAAAGTTAAAGATAGTTTCCATGGGTAATGGCATGCCAATAGCAAATATAAGCAGCAACCTGACCACTCTTACTTCTCTCACAATAAGAAGTATAAGGGGACTTGATTGTCTGCCAGAAGGGATGTTAAAAAACAACAAGAATCTTGCATATTTGTGTATAGCAGATTGTCCGGATTTAACTTGTATTACTACGGATGATGTATTTGGTTGTTGTGCTTCTCTTCGGTCAGTGCATATTTCCGGGTGTGATAATCTTAGGTGCCTGCCTGATGGGCTACAAACTCTTGTCTCTCTTAACGAGTTGAGTATACAGATTTGCAATAGTCTAGAGCTCATTCCAGACATGCACGGTCTCACTTCTCTTCGGTCAGTGAGTATTTCCGCGTGTCATAATCTTAGGTGCCTGCCTGATGGGCTACAAACTCTTGTCTCTCTTAACAAGTTGAGTATAAAGAGTTGCAATAGTCTAGAGCGCATTCCAGACATGCACGGTCTCACTTCTCTTCGTGAGTTGACCATAGAATATTGCTCCAAGCTAACGTCCATTCAATTTGAACAGGGCCTCCCATCTCTTTGTGATTTAATTATTGACAATTGTCGTGAATTATCAAGCCTGCCGAGTGGGTTAGAATATTGTACCTCTCTTCAGAATTTGAGAATATCTGGTTATGAACAGGGCCTCCCACCATCCCTCCACTCTCTGGAGATATCTGGTTGCAAGAGTCTAGAGTCCATTCCATTTGAACAGGGCCTCCCATCTCTCTGTAGATTAGTTATTCACAGTTGTCCTCAACTATCAAGCCTGCCGAGTGGGTTAGAATATTGTACTTCTCTTCAGCGTTTGACAATATCTTATTGTGAAATGCTATCATCCATTGGGATTCACAGCCTCCCACCATCCCTCCACTCTCTGGACATATCTGGTTGCAAGAGTCTAGAGTCCATTCCATTTGAACAGGGCCTCCCATCTCTGTGTAAATTAGATATTCGCAGATGTCCTCAACTATCAAGCCTGCCGAGTGGGTTAGAATATTGTACTTCTCTTCAGGATTTGACAATATCTGATTGTGAAATGCTATCATCCATTGGGATTCACGGCCTCCCACCATCCCTCCACTCTCTGGGCATAAATGGTTGCAACAGTCTAGAATCTATTCCTAGTTTAGAAAACCTCACACACCTCCGTAAGTTGGAGATAGTTGATTGTCATGGGTTAAAAAACCTGCCCGGTGGATTAAAAACCCTCACCAGCTTGAAGGAATTGGAAATTGGTGGGTTTTGGAAGGAGCTCGATTCATTCCCTCCTTTTGAGGTTATTCCACAACTTGAATCATTAATGTTGCGTGGTTGGCCTACGCTTCAGTCTCTGCCTGAAAATGTTCAACACTTGACTTCTCTAACTCATTTGGAAATAAGGCACTTCGACGGAATGGAGTCTCTTCCGGAGTGGTTGGGGAACCTTGCATCTCTTCAGTCCCTACGGATATGGAGATGCAAGAATCTGAAGTATCTACCTACAGCTGAAGCTATGAAATGCCTCACCAAATTAAAAAAAGTATACATTGCTGATTGTCCCGTTCTAAAAGAGAGATGCAACAAGAAGAGCGGCCCGGAATGGCACAAGATTTCTCATATTCCAACTATTGGTATGTTTTTCCTTTTCCGGTTCTTAAATCAATTACGCACAATGTATTCTATTTTCTTCTCTTACTTTTTCATTAAAGTGAATCACTTGTTATGTGGTATGTGTGTTTCTGTTTCATTTTCCTGAAACTACAATTTAATGTACATGGTAAATTTCAATCCCCAGTACAAAATTGTGATAAGATATATTTACATCATAATATGCATCTAGTTAACTACCTATTCCAATCATGTTCTCACATCTCTTTTGATTATTCTCAGCCGGCACTCCATGATCACGTCGAATCCTTATGAAAATGAATCCAGAACGAAATCGCGCTAAAGCTAGGGCGTCACCCGTAAGTGGCGCGCTGTGTGGCCCGAGCACAGTGATAAGTGAGCAAGGGTCGCTGTATCTCCATCGGCACCCGGATGCAGTGTTAAATGAGCAAGGGGGCTATAGAAACTTCTTTTCGAACGACTCCACTCAAAGTTGTTTGGGAGCATATGCTCCTATCAACTTTACACGGGACACACAAAAGAAGTACTTTGATCCTATTAGACGGGGAAGGGTGAAGAAGCTAGGACAGAAGGGTAGAGTTCAAGAGAGCAAAATGCGTTTAGGAACGTGGAATATATAGGAACCTTGACGGGAAAATCTATGGAAGTAGTAGAAGTTATGGTGAGGAGAAGGATAAATATTATGTGCCTACAAGAAACTAAGTGGGTTGGGCGTAAGGCAAAGGATCTAGAAAACTCAGGGTTTTAAACTATGGTATTCGGGCACAAATAGAACGAGAAACGGTGTTGGCATCATTGTGGACAAGACCTTGACACAAGATGTTGTAGATGTCAAGAGGGTAGGAGATAGAATCATGGCAATCAAGATTGTAATAGGACAAGAACTTATCAATGTGATTTAGTGCGTACGCACCTCAAGTAGGGTTGGATACGAGTTCGAATGAGAAATTTTGGGAAGACCTTGGAGACTTGGTGCAAGGAATTGCTCAGACGGAGAAGTTATTTATAGGAGGAGATTTAAATGGACACGTGGGCAGGGAGACAGGCAACTATGGAGGTTTTCATGGTGGCCATGGTTTTGGGGAGAGAAACGAGGATGGGGAAGTTATCTTGGATTTTGCAAATGGCATATATGATCTCTTCTTAGCCAACACCTTCTTTAAGAAGCGGGAAGAACATGTGATCACCTACAAGAGTGGGTCGTCAAAAACACAAATAGATTTTCTTCTAATGAGGAAAAGGGATCGTATAACTTGTAAGGATTGCAAAGTTATACCAGGAGAGAGCGTGGCTAATCAACATCGTTTTGTTGGTGATGGATGTACATATCAAAAGAGTGAGAAAAAAGAACAAGACTTGGAAGTGCCCAAGGACTAGATGGTGGAATCTAAAAGAAGAAAAAAACAAGCCATTTTCAAAGAGAAAATAACCACCCAGTGTGTGTGGGATAGAGAGGGGGAAGCTAACCAAATGTGGGATTCCATGGCTAGTTGTATCCGAAAAGTAGCAAAAGAGGTATTAGGAGAGTCCAAGGGCTTTGCCCCACACCAAAAGGAATCGTTGGTGGTGAAATGAGGAGGTACAAACAAAAGGTGAAGGCTAAGAAGGAATGTTGTAAAGCCTTATACAAGGATAGGACCGATGAAAATGGTGAAAGGTATAGAAAAGCGAAGCAAGAGGCGAAGAAAGCTGTGAGAGAAGCTAAGTTAGCGGCTTATGACGATATATGTATAAACGACTAGATACCAAAGAAGGAGAGTTGGATATCTATAAACTAGCTAGAGCAAGGGAAAAGAAGACAAAGGACCTAAACCAAGTGAGGTGCATCAAGGATGAGGATGGAAAGGTTCTTGCTACAGAGAACGCGGTTAAAGACAGATGGAAAGGTTATTTTCATAATCTTTTCAATGAAGGACATGAAAGGAGTGCTTCTTTAGGGGAGTTGAGTAACTCAGAAGAGTGTAGAAACTACTCTTTTTATCGTAGAATCCGGAAGGAAGAAGTGGTTGTAGCTTTGAAGAAGATGAAGCATAGAAAAGCAGTAGGCCCAGACGATATACCAATCGAAGTGTGGAAAGTTTTGGGAGAGACGGGTATAACATGGCTCACTGACCTTTTCAATAGGATTTTGAAAACGAAGAAGATGCCAAATGAGTGGCGAACGAGCACTTTGGTGCCTATCTACAAGAATAAGGGCGATGTACAAAATTGCATGAACTATAGGGGTATTAAGCTAATGAGTCATACAATGAAGCTCTGGGAGAGAGTCATTGAGCATAGATTGAGGCAAGAGACACGGGTTTCGGACAACCAATTCGGGTTCATGTCAGGGCGCTCAACCATGGAGGCAATCTATCTCTTACGAAGATTGATGGAAAGATATAAAGATGGGAAAAAGGATTTACACATGGTCTTTATAGATTTGGAAAAAGCGTATGATAGGGTCCCAAGAGACATTCTTTGGAGGATTTTAGAGAAGAAAGGAGTACGAGTAACATATATCCAAGCTATACAGGATATGTATGAAGGAGCAAAGACTGCCGTAAGAACTCATGAAGGACAAACCGAAAGCTTTCCCATAACTGTAGGATTACATCAAGGCTCATCCTTAAGTCCTTACCTTTTTGCGTTGGTAATGGATGAGTTAACAGGACATATTCAAGATGATATTCCTTGGTGTATGCTTTTCGCAGACGATATAGTGTTGATAGATGAAACTCAAGAAGGGGTAAATGCAAAGCTTAACCTTTGGAGAGAAGTGTTGGAATCTAAAGGTCTTCGCCTAAGCCGATCAAAGACAGAATATATGGAGTGCAAGTTCAGTGCAAATGGAGGCCAAAACGAGTTAGGGGTGAGGATCAGAGATCAAGAAATACCAAAGAGCGACCGTTTTCGTTACCTAGGATCTATCTTGCAAAAGAACGGAGAAATTAGATGGAGATCTCAACCATAGAATACAAGCTGGATGGATGAAGTGGAAGAGTGCATCCGGCGTGTTGTGTGACCGTCGTATGCCACTGAAGCTCAAGGGAAAATTTTATAGGACGGCAATAAGGCCGGCGATGTTGTATGGCACAGAATGTTGGGCGGTGAAGCATCAACACGTACACAAAATGGGTGTAGCGGAGATGAGGATGCTTCGTTGGATGTGTGGGCACACGAGAAATGATAAGATTAGGAATGAGGATATCCGGGGTAAAGTAGGAGTAGCCGAAATTGAAGGAAAGATGAGAGAAAATCGGTTACGGTGGTTTGGACATGTGCAAAGAAGGCCTACTGACGCTCCGATTAGAAGATGCGACTATGGGACAGAGGTTCAGGGCCGAAGGGGTAGAGGAAGACCCAGGAAAACTTTGAGAGAGACCCTAAGAAAAGACTTAGAGTACTTGGATCTAACGGAGGACATGACACATGACAGAACACAATGGCGTTCTAAGATTCATATAGCCGATCCCACTCAGTGACTTGGATTTTCCAAGTCTCCAACCGAGAAGTTGTCCTCGCTCGAGAAATTAAGGGAACACTACCTCAACCTACATGCTCTACTCACAAAGCTCCAACATACAAGCTTCAACAAAAGAAAATTCAAAGAACTTAGCGAAGAAGGCTTTGGTGATTTAACACAATACGTTGAAATGAAGGAAAGCTTATTTATTGATATCCCCGATAAATTACAAATATGTACATATACTTGAGTCAAAATAAACAAACAAGAGGGAGCCTTCACAAAGGTTGCTTAGGAGAAGTCTCAGCAGTCGGTAGAGCCCCAGAAAGAGAAGGCACCGGAGGGGGATCATTCGGAGCCTCAGTACTGGACAGAACCCTAGAAGGAGGAGGCATCAGAGGTTGATCATTTGGAGCTTCATTACGCGGTACAGCCCCAGAAGACGAAGGCAATAAATGCCTTTGGAACAAACCCACAAATCTCTGATGATCAAGTAAAACCTGACCATCAGATTCCTTCATCTGGTCAAGCTTCCTCTTTATGTTTGTAGCATAGTCATGTGCGAGTCGGTGCAACTGTTTATTCTCATGCTTGAGCCCTCTAATCTCCTGTTTGAGATTCATCACTTCAGCCGCCAATGATTCAACTTGGCGGGTTCGAGCAAATAGGCGTTGGGCCATATTAGACACAGAACCTGCACACTGAACACTAAGAGCCAGAGAATCCTTAACAGCCAACTCATCAGACCGTTTGGAAAGTAGTCTGTTATCTTTGGGAGTGAGAAGGTTCCTGGCCACTACCGCAGCGGTCATATCATTCTTCATCACGGAATCCCCAACGGTAAGAGGACCAGTAGGGGAGACGAAGGATGGGCGCCATATGTTGTCTGGAGAAGGCGGGGCTGCCTCTTCAACAAGGTTCAAGTCAAAACGACGGTCGGAGGGGCCAGACATTTTCAAAGGTGTAGAAGAGAGAAGAGGTCGGACAAATCAAGATCTTAGAAGTGCAAGAATGGAGCTTCTACTGGTGGATATTCAAGTGTGCTTTGGAACTTAATGTCAGCCTCTATAAAAATCTGCACTCGACGAAGCTTCAGAAATCGAAGAGGCGTTTGCTTTCTCAAAAGCTGGGCTGCTCAGAGACCACGAGGGTCGATCTCAGAAATCGAAGAGGCGTTTGCTTTCTCAAAAGCTGGGCTGCTCAAAGACCACGAAGGCCGATCTCAGAAATCGAAGAGGTTTGCTTTCTCAAAAGCTGGGCTGCTCAGAGACCACGAGGGGCCGATCTCAGAAATCGAAGAGGTTTGCTTTCTCAAAAGCTGGGCTGCTCAGAGACCACGAGGGCCGATCTCAGAAATCGAAGAGGTTTGCTTTCTCAAAAGCTGGGCTGCTCAGAGACCACGAGGGTTGATATCAGAAATCGAAGAGGCACCTACTTTTCCAGCCTTGTCAGCACCTGTCACACGCACACTCAGCTTTGCGGAAATTATGGGCATTCTGTCGAAGATTTCTGGCGAAGTAGAAAGCACATGAATCGTACTGTTCAATTACCCACTTCCCACACGCAACAGTAGCTCATGGGTACCACATATAAACTTTGCCAAAGTTCTCTGACAAAGTTGAGACTACTTTTCCAGCCTTGTCAGCACCTGTCACACGCACACTCAGCTTTGCGGAAATTATGGGCATTCTGTCGAAGATTTCTGGCGAAGTAGAAAGCACATGAATCGTACTGTTCAATCACCCACTTCCCACACGCAACAGTAGCTCATGGGTACCACATATAACTTTG